GAGGGTCTATGAACGAGGAAATACATCTGCGAGAGCAGGATAGTAGCAGAGCAGCATAGCATAGCGGAATAGCAGAACATCAGAGTAGAGTGTTGGAATATCAGACCTAAGGTAATGATTTCTTAGGTAATTTAACCTTCTCTCCAATGACGATCGATGCCGCCGAGAACTGGCCGAGGACCGTGAAGGTCTGAACTCTTTGGGGTATAATGTCCCGGACTGCTCCGTTAGGAAATCCACCCATGGGACCGGATCATTTTAATGGAAGCAATCTATTTGGTGTCTAGCAAAAAAGCACCTCGGAATTGACCTAGGGTTGAGGTCAGATCAGGTTCATCGAGATATCACGGCGATCAGACCTCCGAGGAACAATAGATCCCAATTATCCCGGACAACAGACAATTACAGTTACCACCTTTACGATTGGTTCACATCTTGGTTGACAGGTGTTCCCCCTATGTATCAAACTTGACTTGAAACCCTTCCCTTGCAACCTTTTCCAGGGGAAATGGAGAATTCAGAATACAGCATGGGATCTCACATTCCACGTCTGCATGGTGACTGAATTCCATGTTGTCGCTATACAAACCTGGAACCTCACAATCTTGCTCACATTGAATCCTGCTAATCCTGCTAATCCTGCTAATCCTGCTAATCCTAATGCACACGTGGTACGCGCGACTCATGATACAGTCGTTATGACGCCTCCACCCCCGATCGGGTCTCAGATTCTGTACAGAGGACCTGGTCTCGGGAGGGTACGTCAATCTGGATCTTGGTCTTTTTTCCCCCAGTCAATTTGCTCTTATGTTCCCCCAGCAAGTATAGTCAATATGAGTGCACATGTATGTTGTACGTGGATGTTGTATGTAGGTTCGGAGGATGTCTTCCGAGGATGCCACGATGTCCAGCCGCGTCAGGAAAATCCCACCGTTAGCTCCAGATCGTCAGCCGACCCTCTCGGCTCCGACACACGAGATTGGACGGAAGTGCGCCAATTGTTCTTAGCCCTCCATTGACAAGAATGGGGTTACGAATATCGCATTTTGCTTTTTTGTGCGTTTCTTCAACGTACCCGTGGACATTAATCAGGGCAGGGCTTGGAAGAACGGCCTCCACATAGGCCTCCACATCAGTACGATCTTGTACAAGGTTGGTGTAGTCCCCGAGCAAGGGACTCTAGGGTTGCCATATCGGAACTATAGTTCAATCATGCAAAGCATGAGAGCATAATAGTATGCAATAAGAGTAATGATCCCGCGATACGCACATTATTGAAAATGCGGCGATCATCGATGTCCTTCAGGAACATCAAAGTTCAGAGCCCTGGCGGATCTGAGTGGATGACATAACTGCTGATGTAATCTATCATGCCTCAGGCAAAAACTGCGACTGAGCCGCGTAGTTAAAACAACGAAAACGTGAGTTTGTTATACACATCAACGCTTAATGATAAAAATTTTGAGATTCAGAGATATGGCAAATATTGATTAAATCCAACATTCGTTTATCTCCTCCCCAGACGAATGGGTCGAACTGTGTTTCAGGCATGTCGACATCGGGTCAAGTCCAGTCTCGCGGCTTCCAGACATCCATTGATATCGCCCGTCGACAAGCGTATCACGTAGCGCCCGTGGCAGGACAGAAGCGACCCCCTTCAGCACCCACAGAGCAGGTCCCCAATTATCCATCCGGTCCAGTCGTAAAACAAGCTACCTTCCTTCGCCAAAATGTCAACTCAGATACCATACTGGAATCAGTTTCGCTGGAGTCAGCCCGAGATCTGTTAACCGCCCCGGTCCATCGCTTTACCGCCAGCAAGATTCATCTCGGCGCGCGCGCGGTACCATCCCCAGATGATCATCAAAAGGCTGTGATTGCGACTGCCCCTCCTTCTAGTCAGAATCCACTGCTATCCTTGTCGAATCCAAAGTATGGCCTGCCGCCCGCTCTCACGACTAATTTTGCCACCCTGGGTGTAAGAAATATCTACCCGTGGCAGGCATCGTGTCTTCTGGCTAGGGGCTTGCTCTCCGGTGAACGTCATTTGGTTTACACGGCCCCGACGGGCGGGGGAAAGTCCCTGGTTGCGGATGTTCTGCTTTTGAAACGCATTATTGAAAACCCGGGGCGGAAGGCGCTATTGGTTTTGCCTTATGTCGCTCTAGTTCAAGAAAAGCTCAAGTGGATGCGTCGCATTGTGCAAGATGTGGAGAAGAACATGCCGGACGACGATGGAAATGACTCTAAATTTCCTCGCCGGCGATGGAAGAAATTGCAGAAGAATATAAGGGTGACAGGTTTCTTTGGTGGAAGTCGGACTACGACAACTTGGGCTGACACTGATATTGCCGTTTGTACGATAGAGAAGGTATGCACGCTCGACGTTCAGTGGTGCTTGCAAAATTCTGATCTTTCTTTTCTTAGGCCAATTCGTTGATAAACAGCGCGATAGAAGAGTGTAGCATTGGAGACTTGGGAGTCGTGGTTCTCGACGAGTTGCACATGCTCGATGACGAACATCGGGGTTATCTCCTGGAGTTGATGGTCACGAAGTTGCTGTTACTACAGCAGGACATCCAGATTGTTGGGATGAGTGCCACGCTTTCTGTGAGCACATGGTTCAATCCTTCGGTAGCCTACGCTAACGGGTCTACAGAACACCGAGATGCTGGCACAATGGATGAATGCCAAGTTCCACATCTCCACATACAGGCCAATTCCCATCGACGAATACTTGGTATACGAGAATGGAATCTACCCAGCTGCAAACTCGAGGCAATTGTTCCAAACGGCCTCCAAGCTGACTGCTGCTGCGTCCTTACACGATACCATTCCTCCCCAACGAATCATTGAACCTTCTACTTTTAAGCAGCTCAGCAATTCCGCCACAAATGCCATGGTAGCGCTAGCAGTCGAAACTGCAGCTGCTGGGTTTGGTTCATTGGTGTTTTGTGGTAGTCGTAATGCATGCCAAGTCCACGCTGCGACTATCGGTGAAGCAATGCCGCCAGCGGAGCCCGAAGAGTTGAACAAGCGACTCGACCTTCTCGCAGAGTTGCGGAGCCTCGCCTGTGGGCTGGACCCGGCTTTGGAGACAACAATCATCAAAGGGGCAGGGTTCCACAGTTAGTTTTCTGACATCTAAAATAGAGCTTCCACCCTTACTAAAAATCACTTAGACGCGGGCATGACCACGGAAGAGCGGGAGCTAATTGCGCAGGCATATGACCAGGGTGTGATCAAAGTTCTCGTGGCCACATGCAGTCTTGCCGCTGGTGTAAACCTCCCGGCGAGACGAGTTATTATCAACGGTGCGCGCATGGGCCGTGAATTAGTAGGTCCAGCTATGTTGTAGGTGCCTTTTTCTGAATTGAGGAGCATAAGCTGACACTAACAGTCGGCAAATGTGCGGTCGTGCTGGCCGCAAAGGCAAAGATGATGCCGGCGAAACCTATCTCATCTGCGTGAAAGCTGATATGCAGGCTGTCTGTGATCTGTTGGACGCTGATATGCCAGCTATTGAGAGCTGTCTAGCACCGGAGAAAAGGGGCCTCAAGCGGTATGTATTTCCCGTCCAATTCTATTGTTGATGTTTCTGAATCATTCACTCACGCCCCAAAGAGCTTTGCTCGAAGCCGTGGCAACGGGATTGGTATCAGGCTGCGAGGCGATCAAAGAATTTGTTCGATGCACGCTTCTTTACCGCACATTGGACAAGAAAATTGCATACACTATCATGAAAACCGCTCTCCAGGAACTAGTCGACGAAGAACTTCTTATTCGCCGGGAGGACGAATCCTATGAAGCTACACCATTAGGACAGGCAGTCGTGGCCTCGGCCTTTTCACCCGAAGACGGCTTGTTCGTTCATGAAGAGCTTAAACGAGCATTACAGGCCTTCGTAATGGACGGTGACATGCATATCTTCTACATGTTCACCCCACTTCAAGCAGCCATGAACACTCCCATCGACTGGCAAATATTCCGTGATCAACTAGACCGGCTAGACGAAAGCGGTCTCCGAGCTCTGCAATTTGTTGGAGTCCAACCAGGTTTTGTTAACACAATGTACTCCTCCTTTACCCTACATACTCCATTCCTTCTACACAGCCCCACACGCACACACCTCCCAGCCAAACCCAAACTAACACCCCATCCACCAGGGTCCAATCAGGCGCCTCCCTAAAAGAAACAACCCCAATACAAATGAAACAAGCCCGCATCTACCGCCGCGCCTACACGGCCTTCCAACTCCGTGATCTTAGCAACGAAGTTCCCCTCTCAACAATAGCCCAGCGCTACAAAATCCCCCGCGGCACAGTCCAAACCCTAGCACAGCAATGCCACGGCTTCGCCGCCGGCATTGTCAAATTCTGCCAACGTATGAACTGGGGCATGATGGCTGCTGTTCTGGATCACATGCGCGATAGACTTGAGGCTGGTGCTCGTGCGGATCTTCTCGAGATGGCGCAGGTTACTTTTGTTAAGAGTTGGACCGCGCGGTTGCTAAGGGATAATGGATTTAGGAATTTAAGGGCTTTGGCCGAGGCGGAGCCTAAGGATTTGGTTCCTGTCCTTATGATGGTGGGTTTTTGGTTTTCTTTTTTTCTCTTTTTGCATGTCTCGAAGACTTGATGTGTGATCGTCTGCTAACTTGTCATTGGTATGTTTAGGCCAATCCTCGTAAAGCACAGAAAAGTCAGCTCTATCCGACAGAGGCAGAGAGGTATACTGCGAAATTGATGGCTAAGGCTGAGACGATTATTTCGCATGCGATTAAGATCTGGGGTACGTTTTTTCAGCAAAATGCAGAATTGATTTCAGATCTAAACTGACAGCGCATAATCTTCTAGAGCGAGAGATGCAGATCGAGGTGGAGGAATAAGTAATACATTTTTGGCATCTTGCATGGACAGGACTGTTGTTTCCATACAACTTCCAGAGCTGTGACAGCATTGGATTTCGTTATGACATATATACCCCAATTCAGTCCCCAATTAGCGCCTATACCACATCCTGGTCACCTGCGTCCTCCGCATCTTCTTCTGGAGAAGGAAAATACCCTGCAAAAGAGCCTCTACTGTCGGTGGGCATCCAGGCACATAAATATCCACAGGCACAATACGGTCCACGCCGCGTACAACATTGTAGCTGTAGTGGTAATATCCTCCGCCGTTGGCACAACTACCCATACTAATCACCCATCGAGGCTCGGGCATTTGATCATATAGTTGTCTCACCGCTGGCGCTATCTTGTTGGATACCGTGCCGGCCACAATCATCACGTCTGCCTGTCGTGGCGAGGCGCGGAAAATAATGCCCAGTCGATCTTGATCGTATCGTGGCATTGAGGTGTGCATCATTTCGACTCCACAGCAGGCGAGCCCGAATGATAAGGGCCAAAGGGAGCCTTGTCTTGCCCAGTTTACTAGCCCGTCGGCCTTGGTACTGAGCAGCAGAAACATGTTAGAACTACAGACCAATTGGAGAGTTAGTACAACATTGAACATACAGAATATACCCCGACGCTCCATCTTTCTGACTTTGGAATGGTACGGGTGTAGTGGTAGAGCTTTTAGGTTCTGAAGATGTGCGTAGGCATCGTGTTGCGATGGTGGGCAAGAAACACTTTGACCATTGCTGTGGACTGGAGTGTCGGAGTATGCTCCGAGAGGATGTGTTCAAAAGCATGGTCACCAGCTAAACCTGAATATGTTGCTAGCTCGAGAAGTCAGATGTAAAGGGTAGAATCAGCTAATTTCTCCCCCTTAGACAACTTTTATAGTTATTTCTTAATTAGCTTGTGTGGAGCGTCCAATGAAAAGGGAGACATAATAACGGTGGCCAATCAGACACGTGAGAATTCGGCGACTTGGTGGGACTTTCTTCACCAACTTCGCCGAATTCAAGACGCCGACCTCACAAGCGAACAGGTGCCCTTTCACCGTTTTTAAATGCCGCGCGCTATTCCAGTTAAAGTCGCCTGTCGCCTGTGTCACGACCGACGAGTCAAATGCGATCGTAGTGAAGGCGTCAGTTGTTCCAACTGCCGGAAAGCCCGGCGCCAATGTGAACTGATTATATCTCGTCGTGGAAGGTAGGATTCAAAAAGACCAAGCCATCATACTAGTACTTAATCGGATCTAGGAAACGGAAGCTTCCTCTTCTACCCATCGAGGAGGACTCTCGCAATGTGCCGTATCAGGGAATGATAACTTCAAACCCACCTCTGGCCACTTATGCTCAAGGCGATGGAGATAAGCCACAGCAAGAGCCATGTTTCCCCGCTCTCGGGCCAAGCGGCAAAACTCCATATGTGGGCGATCCTTCTAATCTTAATTACTTGATCCAACAATTTGGAAATCCCTTTGGGGGCACGACGGATGTTCGTCCACTTCAAGACCACCTCCACGGAGCAATGCTGGCCCGGTTGGGCAGGTCGACGGCGCGGGCAATCGATAGACTTCACATATCTACTGGCGAACGCCTGAAGAGTCAAGGCGCATTTGATCTCCCGTCACAAGGGACCAGTCTCGCCCTTCTCGACGCTTACTTCCATTTTTCGCTTGCTGCACTGCCTATTCTTGATTGGTCGAGATTTCTTGTCACTCTCGAGGAAGGCAAATTTTCACACCTGCTCTTGAATGCTATTTACCTCGCTGCTACTATATATTGTTCGGATTCCGTCATTACTGATGCCGGGTTTGTGTCCCGATACGCTGCAAGCCTTACCTTTTACCAGCGAGCTAAATCTCTTTATGATGCTGGATATGAAACGGATGCCATCGTGACCATTCAGGCTACATTTCTTATGCGCTACTGGTGGAATGGTCTTCTCGAACACAAAGATCCTTGGTACTGGGTGGGCATCTCTGTGGGAATGGCACAATCTTTGGGGCTACATCGAGCGTGAGGCTACTAGTCCCTCCAACTTGTACGAGGTTTCACTAATCAGTATTCTAGAAAGTCATACATCCGTCTCGAAGAGAAAGATCGAAAACTCTGGCGGAGATTGTGGTGGATGGTATATGTTAGTTGTTACCCGTAAATCCCAAGGTCTGCTACTTGTCTGACTACCTTAAGGCCATAGACATAAACCTGTCCATGCTTCTTGATCGTCCTCCACACGCCCAAGGAAGACTTTGCAATGTGCCCCCTCTGTCAGAATCAGATTTTGAACAAGTTGAGTCTCGAGAGACAGGAAACTTCCGAGAAGGCCGCAATGAGGCAAATACCTTCGCGATAAATACTGTGCAACTAGCTCGGATAGGTTCGACATCCCATCATTCTGTTGCTTAATCTGTTTCACTGCTAACAGACATTATAGTGGATCGCTTCTTCACTATTAGATATGATGAAGATACTGGTCACTCACAAGATATCTGCTTAGAGCAAATTTACTTGTGGTTTTCATCTCTTCCTCCGGAATTCAAGTCTTTGTCAACAAATAGTAGCAAGTGGGCTATAATGACTCATATATTATACCAGTAAGTTGACCTTCGAATCGCTCTTCAGAAGCTCTCCACTCTGAACATTGAGTCTACAGGGAATACCGACTAGCTCTGCATCGAAGCAACCCAAGATTCTCTCTCAATACCGGGTCAGACACTCCGACATTCGAGATATGCACGGATATCTCCCACATGCTCGAGATACTCATGGCAAAAGATCTTCTATATGCAGCCTCAGCTAGCATGTGGGTTCTATCCCCCGATAATAAGGTGCCCCAAGTATCTCTACTAAAATCTTTCCAGAATCGCGCCCGCGCTGTCGGTTCTCTCAACCTACATAGTCAACATCTACAGAGGGGATGCTGGTGTCCGAATGATCTCACAGCATCGCGCCCGGTTTTGTATGCTGATACTTGACAAGCTGCAAGATCGGCTCCCGGTGGTTGCAGCCTTCTATCCAATTTTTGATTCCCTGCTTAGGCGATACTCTGCTGGTGCGCAGACACAAGATGGCGCAGTACCAGAGCGTCCAGCAACGGGGTCATCGATGCAAAGTGGACGTCAAGTTGATCACGAAAGCACTCTTTCAAGTATAAACCCTACTGGAGGTATATTTGATCAAGTTCCGCAAGACAGTATGGGCATGTCGTTTCCCTTCTCGTTTCCATTCGGCAATCTTTTCGAAGATGTCTTTCTGAACTCACCTTCTCAGCCTGCACCTTATTGTGAAGATGACATGTCTTATCCTGAGTAGCATTGCTAAATATAACAGATCCTTCTCACCACATGCTCTCTTAAATCTGGCCTGAACGGGTCACATGGATGAAAATCTACAAAACAAAAGCAACGAAACCCAACTCTGGACACCAATTGAGTGCCAATCTCATATTTGCAGTAGCATGTATGCGCTTTGTACATGATTTACAATTCCCAACGCCCAAGCCCAAACGCCACGTAGATACAAACATGAGAGCCCGCCTATGAGCAGCGGAGAAGGTAGTCAACCCAACAAAAAAAAATTCCCCCAAAAAGGCAGTTCAGTTTTTTTCCCCCAAATCTTTCACAAACAAACCAAGAGTTCTACAATTCGCCATGTCCACCATGCCGATGCTCACGCTCCGATCCCGGTGCAGCCATAAACCCGCCAGCGCGCACGCGCAGCGCAAAGTTTACCAGAATGATCACAACGAGTCCGATACTAACGACCGTCGGACCCCAGCGCTCGTAGTAGACGCGCTTGACGTCGCGACGCTTGCGGATTTTGTCGACGCGCCAGATATACAGGAAAAGACTGTAGACGAGGGCGCCGGCGGCGAGGATAGTGAAGGCCCAGGAGGAGACGAGGGTGGCGGTGTCGGTGCCGAAGTTGAGGAGGGTTGCGGCAATTCCACCGAGGATGATGGAGAATTCCAACCAGGAGAGGAAGGTTCGTTCGGCGGCAAAGTAGACTTTTGGTTCCACGCGGATGGGAACAAAGATGCCTATTTTTGTGTTAGTTTGATAGATGTACGGAATGGTATGGAGCTAGTTTACGTTTGCCCGGGGGAGCCTGGAAGCGCTGTAGGGTGCGTCGGTGGCTACTCAAAACAGCGATCCCACGCTGTTCGGGGGGAGGCAGAGATGTTGGACGAGGGCGGGGGATCATCGCCATGAGACCCTGTGCGACAGCGTGGCCAGTTCGAGAGAGATAGTGTTTTGCTAATTGCTGCGCGTAGTACGCACCCCCTATGCGACGGGCTTCTTCGAGTTCGTCGGAATAGACCGATTCGTCGTCCGAGTCGTACAAGGGGTAGTCTTCGTCGCCAGGCAAGGGCTGGGCGGCGATGCGTTCTTCAATATCCAGTTCGTTGCCATTGGTCTCAAACAACCCGTTTTGGTGCTCGGTGGCTTCTCCATTTGGAGGTGTTTCTTGCGTATCCGGAGTATCATCATCATCCGAATCTTCATCATTGGCGGATATTGAGGTGCTCGCCAGCGGTCTGTGGATACCGAATTCGCGACTGGCGGGCTTGCGGATGTCCACACCCATCTGGGGGAACCAGAATGGAAGCAGGTTGATGCGAGTAGGGAACATGGTCGCTGTTCCGTGGATGAACTTGCTGAATTTCGGGACAGCCTCAACCAGGTGACTGGCAGTCAAATCCCGAATCCACTGGGGAGGTTCCTGACCTGCCTGGGTCTGCAATTTTACCTCTAGCACGGCATAGGGGAATCGGTCAATGTCCTCTGGAGGCAGCTGGGAGAATGGGAAGTCGACTCCGATATCCATACGACGCCAGTTCTTGCCCGACCGTCGGCGGCCGTCCAGGTTATCCTCCCGGACCATGGTCAGTTCCGTGTCAAGAGAGATTCGAACACGAGCATCACCTGGCAGCTGGAATGCAGTACGGTGGTAGAATGTACGGGTGACAGGCACCAAGCGGCGAGTAATGATCCGGTACTGAATCTCGCGGGCTAATTGCTCCAAATCATCGATCTCCGCCGGACTCTTCTTACCCTCCTTGCGCATTTTGTCAAAGATCTGCTCAACCGTCATCCGGCCATCGAGGTAGGCATTGACGTTCTTCTCCTTGAGCACGAAACGGGCTTTGACGGATTTTTCTCCCGTCCAGTCCTCGCGGTGGGTTTTTCGCTCGACGAAAACCTGGTCACTTTCCATCCCACCATACCAACGCAATCGAATGGCCTCAGCGCCTTCTGTTTTCTTCAGGCGACCCTGATACAGCTCCCACGTGTCCGTGTTATCATAATAGATAGAGGAGATGGCGGTGTCCTTCTCCTCGAACTCCTTACTGGCATTGAAGACCAACACTGGCAGGTGCTTCAAGATCACCAGCTTCAACTCCGTGATATTATCCCTGTGCACCCAATACTTTGTGGTCTGACGCACAAAGTTCTGTTGGGTACCACCAGCGGATGCGTCACCTTTGACCGGGTTACCCTTGGTCCGGACCAGGTCATACAGCTTGGATAGTTTGATGACAAAAGCATCGTAGTTGTCCTTGAAGAAAGGCTTGGCCTTCAGACGTGTCGCGAAGACTGGCTTGAGGTACCATTGAGTTTCTTTCTGTGCGATTATTAGTGAATTGGGGACCCGACTCGAAAATTAGACGCAAAAACATACGTCATGCTTCTTGATGATCTTCTGGAAACCCGTGTAGTTCAATTGAGTGAATTTGGCCAAGTCGTGAACATCAGCAATGATATCACTGAGCACCTGCTCAAGCATCAAGAAATCCGCATCGGTGGGCGCGGGGCGAGAAGCTCGAGTACTCTGGCGACGGGAATCGATCGAGCTGTCCAGACGGGAGACGACGTCGTTCACTTCGAGCTCGCTTTCTTGAATGCGGGCGACAATTTCCTCACTCTTGCGCTTCTGGAATAGGAACACCTTCTCTAGCTCACTTTCGAGCAAGGAGACAAAGTGTGTCTCATCGTCCTCGGTCCATTCTTTTCGGGCGGGCTTGGCGTTGTTGGCGGTTGGCTCATCGACGAAATCGGTCTTCAGGGCTTTTTTGAGATCGTCATAGGCAATGTAGTAAGGATAGAATTCCTTGATCATAGAAGAACTGAGATATTCACCGAACCTGTGAAACAATTGTGTCAGTACGCTGAAGGCGCGGGAAGTGGAATGGTTGGAAGATAACTGGGTTAGGAGTTTCATACCTCATGGTGGGCAGGGAGAATGTAAAGAAGAGAAAGTCGAGTATATCCCAAGCTCATGACGGGGAAAAAAGAAACAAAAAATAAGAACCCGGTGAGGGGAGCAGGGACGCCAAATTCGGAGGGTTCTAGCTTCGCGAAGATTAAAAGGTCAAAGAGGCTATGATGGGGCCCCGAACTCGGCTAGTCCGATGACTAGCGGGTGACGGCCCCATCGTTTCATCGAGGGTGATCTAGTAATCGTCGTGAAACAATGTGATCTATATCGTTTGAATTAGGGGAATTTGACTTAGTAGTTAGCTGGAAAATGGACTTGGAATGTTTTTATTAGGTCGATTGATTTCAAATCTCCATCAATATGCTAGACAGTGGTTATAATAAGGAGAACCATCATAGCAATTCTAGACGTACTTCTGCTGAGTTGGGTAATTTCTGGTATTTCTAGTATTTCTGGTAATTTTGGTATGGTAACTTTGTATCCCCCATACATCCACCCCTTGGTGACGTTGACAATCTGACCAGTCATCAGCGCACGTGGA